AGTTGCAGAGATGACATCCTTGATGTTTAGTGCAACCCATATGCCAGGGCTAAGGGAATGCTTTCCTGTTACAGGACGACAATGCAGACCACACAGGGCTCGCACCGTAGATATTAGCTCAACAGAAACAATTACGCGATGGGGTGGCCAGCTCGATCCCCGGCTGAATCCTATCGAACATGTTTGGGATGTTTTAGGGAGACGTCTAGCTGCTCTCAATCCGACCCCTCAGACCGTTGCCACGCTTGCAACTGCTTCCAAAGGCAGTGGCTCTCGCTTCCTATGGAACTAATAGAGCTTATAATTTAAAACATCGCGCATTGCTGTATGTGTTGTATTGCTTCTAGAGGCGATCATATTCCATATTGAAGGTACTTTTTCTATAGCAAACTGATACCTTCGATTTGTTCATTTTATACATATGCTAGTTTCTATACTACCATATTTGTCCGGCAATTTATTTTTATGTTATTTGATACCTTACTATGTGTTGTATATTGTGGGGTAAATTTCATTAAATTCTACATGGAACTTTTTCAATAATCGTGATTTTTCCTTAATTTATGATAACCAATGTAGTTTGTATGTGTTTTGATGAATATTCATTAAATGAAATTTAAAACGTTTATTATTTGTTAAAAATGATATAAGAGTAAAATTTTGTTACGAAAAATGGTCCGACACGTCAGCTACTTTCAAATCCAGCACTCGGCCCACGTGCAGTTTGAGTTTGAGAACTACTGTTCTAAAACATGCAAGCACAACAAATAAAAGAGTTTAGATTGCGGTGAAATTTCATATATGAATACCTTTTGATTCAATATGCCTGATGCTACAGAGCGGTCGGATGTAGTGTTAAAAGATAAAAAATTCGAATTGTAGGGTACAACATCTGTTCAAATTTCATTAATAAAACCACTTCGAACAAGTACGAGCATATGTTTCTGACGACAGAGCATGTGCAGTCAGAAGAAAAAGGGTGATAATACTGAAAGATTGCTTGACATTTGGATCGGAACGATGGCGCCATTCGACGATGTTGGTAAGAATGGCCGATAAGTCATTTGAATATGGCAAAGCACAAGAGGGCTATCTGGGCCACGAGAAGTGATGCCTTCGTAGAGAGCTTTCTAAGGGAAACTGTCTTATATTCACGTTACACATGAGGAAAACTGCAAAAACCAACTACGCAGACTGCCCATTTGTCAGAGTTCGAACTACCAGTACTCAGTGGTCTTAACCACTGGTGGGCATCGAAGCCAGAATGAATACCGGTCACTGATCTTTCAATAAGGGGAGGTATGCCTTCGTGGAGAATTTTCTAAGGAAAAACGGGCTCATATCCACATCGAAAACGGCTGAAACATAAAAACGCGCAGCGTCTTGAAGGCAGTGGTCGATCCACAGAAGGATCATCAGATTGGTACTAACAGGGACAGCTGTATTCGCAACAACCAGTGATAAATGACTAACAGAATAAGGTTTGCTTTCATGATACACATTGCGCAGCCTACTCCTCATCTACGCACAGTAGGACTCATTCAATCTGGAATCTCATTGACCGTAACAGAATGACTGTCACTTACCACAGCAATGTTTTACTTCATTTCCCTTGACATCATGACACTTGCATTAATGATATTCAATGCTTTGCATCGCCTTCTTTACCAGGCAACCTGATTATCACAGGATGATGCCTGGCCACATACAGCAATTATTTCTAGTGTTTGTGAAATAGTTCCCTGGGCAACTAGATCCCCCCATATCTGTTCCCAATGAAGCACATTTACGGCCTGATCAGAAGGCACCTTTGACTTGTCCCAGGATGTTGCCAATCTAACAGGCCTATTGGAGACTATTACTTGACAGTGGATTGTAGAGTTGCCAAATGCCTTATTGATTTATTCACTTTATAGCTGTATTTCTGAATAAAAACATTCCATTAAAATTGTAAATTTTCTTTTCATACATATACTACCGCACCTCCTTCTTATACATTAATTCCTTCATAGTGCATCGCATTTATGTCTTAAGAGTGTATTTAATTCAATAAAGGAAGTTTTCAATTTTACTTGTGGCATTTGTTACTTACAAAAAGAAACTTAAACGTTCCTCAAATGATTATTTAATACGATAAACGGAAATATTAACAGGGAAGCCTATCAGCCTTCTCAATTACAAGAAACTTTTTCAAACTCTGAACTTATACCCTATTTTTATAGTCATGAATATACTGGTAGGCAATCTCTGCCATAAAGCGGTCAGACTGTAATTGACATATCTGTTTCTGTACTCTCTTGCATCTCGCATTCACCCTTATTCTGATTAGTAAAATTATCATAGTACTTAAGTTATATTGTGCGAAAACATTTGTGATGCTTGAAACTACTTCTGGTGTGTTAGTACTGTTAAGAAAAGTAATTTTTTTTAATTCTTTGCAACTGTTTGCTATGCTGTACAGTCAGGGCTTAATTTCTAAGATTACAAGTGCTGGAGCCCTATGGAAGACGGTCAGCAGAGAGGAACAAGAGTAAATAAATAAATAAAATAACTATTAAACTCATTAATAAATTAAATAGTTAATTATTATCAAATTAATAGATATTTAATGTTTATAAATTGTTATTTAATCAATAATTATTATATAATTAATTATTATTTATAGAAATAATTAAAGATTGAAGTAATAACTAATTAAAATTAAATAAAATGCAAAGAGATAAATTGAAATTTAATACGCGATTTTTAATATAATTTTATTAAAATAAAATTTCTACTGAAATTATTATTCAATTACATAAAAGAAGCGCCGCAGCCTTCTTATTCAAGGCTCCGATGCGTTCCGGGTAGAATTATGATTTATTACAAAAACTAAGAAGCACCGGAGCCGAGATCCGTTGGGTTCCAGCCAAATTTAAGTCCTGATCGTAGGAGGGGGAGTTCTTTTATCATCACAAAAATTAAATATACTTAAAGTGTAGCTGATGAAAATTTCTAGGGAAATAGAGTATTGCAAGGTCTGTTTATTGTTAAACTAAAACGTTAGGAATTCTAATTTTTTTTTCCCTTTAAACTGTGGTTCAGTTTTATAAAAAGAAGTACCGGAGCTCATCTTATTTAGGGCTCCAGTGCGCTCTGGCTGAAATTGTAATTTATCTTAAAAATTTAGAAGCACCGGAGCAATTTAAGCACTGCGTACAGTACAAGAATAGTAGTTCCATTTTTCGCTCGACTTTTTAAAGATTAAGTTAAACTGTCAAAATTTCTTTTCTTGCTCTCATAGCGGATAGGGACTACAATAAACTATTTGTTGTGCACAGAATACTTTCACATTCCATTGTTTAATGTTATGCGACTGTCTTAACTACATAACTTAGTTATTAAACTAACCGTAATTACATGTTACAGGAATATCCTGTTTTGTGCAGCAGAAGCTATCAGTAGGTTAAGTCTCAGAATATAATACCTGTGAGGCTACTAGTGTTGTCACTTCAAGGCACAGCACAATTTTCCCTTTGATTTTATGAGTCAACATTATAATCTAATAAGCTCCGAATTATCAGGATCTGACATAATGCGAAGATGGGTCTATCATTTACCTGAAAAAGTTTTAAAAACGCAAAATTCCAAAGATGTTTCCCTATTGGTACACTGTGCAAAAAAAGGACAGTTCTGTACCTCACGTCTTAGTGGGCCGATTGATGAAATTCAACTTGTGTTTCTCATGTCTCAAAAGCATGACTTAGAATATGTATTAGACTTATATATAGCATTGCTCTAATACAGGTATTTTGACACAAAACCGGACTTTTTCTGAAATGAAATGCCAATTTTCTTCCATGTTTCAATTCTAAAACTCAAATTATGCCAAACTGCCAAGTTTTGTAAAAATCATAGTAGTTTTTAACAAATTAGCATATATTTGTTAATATCTCTTTCTTGATGACTTATTTGATTTTCTCTTGAATTTTATATATATTTATTAATATCTTTTTTTCGATGAAACTTATTTGATTCTCCATTTCATATTTCGAAATTTAGGTTCATCCCAAATAAAATTCGCAATTCTTATAAATTTTTCGAAAAAAATTTTGAATTATAACCTATAAAAGTTTTACCATCATCTTAAAGTAGATGTATTTCTAAACATACCTGCAAAAAGTTAAGAGTTTTTATTCAAAATTTCCTAAGATATATGTGAATTTACATTTTAGCGCATTTTGAAATTTGGCGTATTTATTATAAGCAATAACATTTTGAAAATGTGGCGTACACACTTTGTTAAAATTATTTGAAAGTATGAACGATAACTCCCTCCCCCACTCGCGCACAAGGAAAAAAGGCAAAGGAAAATAGGTTGTTGCTGTAAATTAAGAAGTTCGCCAAGTGAATTATTTTCAGTGCAAACTGAAAAAATATGCCAATATAAGTTTTTTAATTTCTCACCAAAAGTTACAAAATTTAACATCTAGGCAATTTGAGTCTTAAATTGAAATAAGGAAAACACTGGTATGTTATTCAGAAAAAGTCGGATTTCATGTCAAAATCCCTATATTAGAACAATGCTATATATAAATCTAATACATATCCTAAATTGCACTTTCGAGACATCTTAATCTGATACAGTTGTAAAAATGATTAAATACAATCTTTATTAAAAAATTAAACAGCTACTTTTTATAATCAAAAGTTTACTGAATTTTAACATGTATTGAACATTTCTCCATGGGAATTCCTGTTTTCCCAAACATTCTCTGGCCGTACAAAATTCGATACTGAAATTATAGTCTATTATTATGCACCTAGCTTTCACTGCTAAAATATCCAATAACAGATTTTCCAGCTATAACAAACCAGAACTTTGGTTGTGCAGCAATATGCTTTCTCTGGGAGATGAATATTTGTGCATGTTACTAAATATAATTAGTAACAATTCAATGAATGCAAAACTATGCATTTTGAAAGTTCTCACACCTTACATTTTGTGATTTATCCAAATATTCACTGTACACGTTTTATTTTCAGCCAAGCAAATATAAATGTAAGATACAGAATACTTTATAATTTACATTTATTTAAAATTTTACAAAAAAACAAGGAAAAGGAAACACGTTTCTCCTTTATAGGCACGCCAATATCATTTATCTAGAACAAAAAAGCTCCAGCTCTTTAACGAAAATTCAACATTCAAACCAAATATATTGACTATTTTTATTGGATCAGTGCCTATATGGAGCTGACAGTATATTACATAACATATTGGCTTCTACAAAGAGGAAGACAAGAAAACAGGACTATCACATAATTACAGAAGCACCTGTTGCAAATATTTAATCTGTGGCCAAAAGGTTAATTCAAACACAAATGTTCCCAATATTTCCCAAGTATATTCAGGGTATAATTAACATTTCATTAGTAGAAGGTAAAGCTATGAGGATATAAATATGACAATCATAAACATTCATTCATTCTATAGCATGAACTACCATTTTATAAACAATATCATACTTGGGAAATAATGCAAATTTATACTGCAAAAGCAGTTAGATTACTTCTCAGAGAATTTTGCTACTCTTTAGGTATAATTTTCATTAAGATATATCGAATTTCATGTTTATAAAAAGAGTTAAGAACACACATCACTTACAAATTTATCTTTCAAAACAGGAAGATGTGGCCAAAATGAATCCTTACATTTGGTATAAAGTAGCCTACATGATATAAAAATCAAATGAATATATTAACCCTTAAGACACTTATAGACCTTTTCATTTTTATGGGTTAAAATATGAAAAGTTCAAAAAAGTGTTATTTCTCATAATTTTCATGCTTTGAGAGTAGCTGCCAATGACAGTAATTCATACCCTAATACCTACAAAAACTCCTCATAACATTAAAAACTACAATTTACATTTTTAACGCAAACCAAGTGCAAATAAATGGATGATTACAGCATTTTGAAATAAATAAACTATTTTAATTTAGATTACAAATGCATGTACCAGTAATGAAGTATTCTAGATTTTTTTTATATTACATTAACATTCATGTACATTTTAATCAACATGAATTAGATTTATATTTTTTGCACATATTAACATAAAGATCATAAATATACTTAATTACATCCAACATCAGTTAAGAAAATGAAATTTAATTTCTTTTTATAAGAATGGATGCCAAATTAATTGATGTTTGATAGCAATTCTAACAAGATTAAACTGCTTTATGTATTGCAGATCCTCAAACATTCACATTTGGCCATACTTGTTAACATGTACAAAACTTTCATAAGACAAAAATATCTTTTCATGTGGAATAATCAGTTACAAATAAATGAGAATAAACATAACATTCATATATTTTCTAAATATGAAACACAAATACAAATAAAATTATATTATGGCATCTGTAAAATACATTAGAAATACAGCTTTAACTTCTGATGAAATTTAAGTAGCAAACAAATACCTGAGTGAATTAAAAGATTCCTTAACTTTATTATGCAGTTACTATAGCCAAAGTTAACAGGTAATGTAGCAATTTCAAACATAAGTCTTGTTAAACAATAAGCTAAATACAAAGGACAAAAAGATAGCTGATCAACATACTCTAAACTAGAATTCAAATGCTTTAACAAGGAAATTCTTCATATACTATACATTTAATTAGGTATCAAATGATATCAGTTAAAGTTTTTATCATAATTTATTAACTTGATATGGGGAATTCCTAAATTTCATTTCAACGTATTAACATTCAGGCCTCTTCAGACTACCAAAAATATACTAATAAAAACAAGATCATAACATGATTCAAACTATTATGAGAGAGGTTTATAAATTAATATCAAATTCCATTTATCGGACTTACTTTATGTACATACATGCTTGAATTCTGAGTACATTGTCATTAAGCACTTGAGCTTTTAAACATGCATTAATTTTAAAATGAAAATGCATTATATGTATATATTGTAACCATCATTTTCAAATACTTTGTTGAAATGATTATACATGGTGGTTATAATTAAAGTGACTCAACTCAGATGTATGTAGATGATGTATTTTGCTGAAACTTGATACATAGAGAAGAGAAAACTGCATATGAGTTTGAAACAGTTCAAATTTCAACAATCAGATGGCACTTTTCATGCAACACAGAATAAACAAAAGACATGCAATTACAAAATTTTTTTAAATTACAGTAAATACCGTAAAATCATTCTTGACCAGGCCTTTTGAGGATAAAGCTTAAGTTTTACTAATCAAGTTGTTTAATCAGAACTGCAGGAATAGTTTAGCTGCACGGACAGAATATCAATGTTTAAAAGGCTTGCAGAAAGAACCTATGTTGAAGAGATTGGGCAGTTGCGAGTGCTGCCAAGAAAACAGACCTCAGATGAAATTGGAAGAAGTCACGGTTGCTGACCGACAGTCCTGTTATGAATATATTCTTTGGCAAGTATTAAGGTTGCATTGCACGATTTGTGCTATTGCTATCGCTTGGTTGCACTAACCAGCCTTGATACTCCCACCCATTCAGTTAAGAACACTGCTAGGATGGTGTATGATATGAAACATTCCATGATCCATTCTAAAATGGTATCCATGCAAGATCCACATGAGGCAAAAATTGCACTCTCAAGACCTGTATCAATGCACTACTTTGCATGCTAGTTTTCGGCGAGCAAATGAATGGCCAAAAACTGAAATGTATGGCCTTGGAACATTATGGGGTCAGACAACACAATTTCACCTTAGAGAATTGAATATTCAGAACTGTTGCATAAAAGCTACTGCAAGTTCCAGTATTGTGCATGAACAGTCCTGCATTTTGATCATGTAACTGTAAGGTATGAATTTACACTTGACTTTACTCTTGGCCCTTTTTTTCTTTCAAAATGCTCCTCACAGCTCTAAAAAATGTGAAATCACGAGTGCCCATTACTCCGAACTCCTGCAGTAGCAAGATTTTACACTAACAAGTATTCTTGTTAGTGTAACTTACTTTACACTAACAAGAATGTTTAAGCAGGAATTTGAAAGCTCACACCTGAAGAATATGGACTCTGCCTGAACTGAAATTAAGCATAACATGCCACGTTTGTGCAATTCTCAAAGAAACTCTGAGTTATTCTTAAACATGTCAAAATGTGCTTTGAACATGTGGCTAACACAAGCAAAATGCACACTGAAAAAATGCTGTGATTAAATAGTTTTATTTTAGCTATTTGCACTTCTTGTTCCTAATATGCCATTTTTTCACCTGGTAGTCGAAAATCGAAAGGCTATTTGTTAATGCAGTTTTCTGCATGGTTCATATAACATATATATCAAATTTCAGCAAAATATGTCAACCAAAACAAGCTTCACACTTAAATTATAACCATCCTGTAATTTGTGCTAAGAATGCAAAACGGACTAGAAATAAATGCTGATAAATAAAATTCTTTACTGATTTTACAAAAACATGATGACTGGCACATGTGCATTTTATTCTTCACCCTTCTTGTTTTGGTTTTAAGTCCAGAAAGTAGCAAAACTGTTCTATCAGCAGCAATAAACTTGACTCTTCCAGTCAGTTGCAATTAGCGTTAAAAGAACGCCACATTTCACAAGTTGAAACTTAATGCCAAAAGTATATCATTTATAAAAATTGTGATACCAATAAAAAATTTCAAAATGACAGCAGCATGTTAATGGATACTGCATACCTTAATGAAAAGAGTTAATACAAATTCTGATGTCATTTGAAAAAGATTACTCTCTGCAATAATTATATTACAACCCAAAAATAAACACTTTATACAGTTGTGTAAAACAATAAGCAAATGAGAAATAAAAGAACAACATTTTTTCCATTAAATGAGGCAGCACATGGAGATTAATGTATATATATATATAACTTTTTAATTTAAGTTGCAGAAAGTCTAATTGTTGGTCTACCATAAATTTATCCTGCTACAACCTTTTTCTCTTTAAACTTTTTATGTAAATAATTAAATATTTATACTTAAAATAATGTAAAAGTGAAAAAATTGTGGATCAAATAGGTTTTGCAAAACCATTTAAAAAATGTACTCGTATTCTTTCTTGCATTCACATGAAAAATACTGATATACAAGATTAAAAAAAAATTTTAACATCAAGCACCATGTTTCTCAAAATTCAAGATAATTAGAATGACATCACACACATACATCTACAAAATGAGAATAGTGGGCACAAAAATTGATTCCATGCACAGTTATAAAAATTTAAAAAAATCAAGCTGTACAAAGCATACAAAAAATGTAAGTACAACAGCAGCAACAAGATGTGCATATTTTTCATTTATGAAAAAAGAATATGATGATGCTAGTTCCATCAAGGAATTTCCCAGTCACATCACAAATTTTATTTTACACAGTATAAATACAAAGGAATTTTTTCAGGTGTTCCACTGAAAAAATAAACACATCAAAAATGGATAAGCCTAGTAACATAAATTAGTACTACATGCAACTATTCATAGTGCAAAAATAATCAGGAGCATAACTCAGTATAAAAGAATTTACAAAATAATTGCACTGACGAGGACCAAAATAAACAGGCAATATATACGTGAAAGTTTCATGCACATTAAAGCTAAAAACCACAATCAAACAGCAGTATAAAATGCTTAGTCCAAAGATGCTTATATATGTATTTTTTTTTTTTTTTCTTATTTCAAATAAGAATTTTGTATGATGAACAGTTTTTCAACCTTTTATAATGAATAATTTGTACACCAACAAACTATACTGTCTGCTCCAAACACTGAACATCTCCATTTGAATATTCCACATCATCATTCTCTCTCAAGTCTCGTGGTATAGGAGTGTTATTACAACTACGATTCCACTTTTCTTTATGTTGTTCACGGCCAAATCCTTCGTCATAATTACCCCTTGATATAAAAAGTTGCTTAAAATGTGGAGTACAATATAGCCTTCTTCCACTTTTGGTATAATTTTCTAACCTAAATGGGAGAAAATAGTTATAATTTCTAAACATGGAGAACAGACAAAAATCAAAATTAATCTACTCAGGTTTGATATGCAAATAAACAAAATGCCATGCTCACAACAGTAAAAACACTTGATTTTTAATTTTAAAATGTACTTAGATGTACATAACTATATGCAGATTAACATTTGATAAAAAAATAACAAAGTCTCACAAATTATGATACATGATACTGTAGAAGTTTTCTTAATCTTTTTGAAGTAAAAATAATTTCCAAAGCAATGTGTCAAACACTACAGAATGATTTCTTTTTATATGAACAGAGTACGTAAATTTCCCAATTCATTACAAAATGATAATTTTTAGTGTAAATTTTTTTAGATTTTTTCAACCATTAATGTAAAAACATAGTTAACAGTATCTGTCAAAAATGTAAATATGCGAATGTTTTAAAAATGCAAATATGTGACATTTTTAAAAGTTAATACTCATTACCAAAGTGCAATATCATTCAGAACACGAGAGATTCACAGCTTTTTCGACGTACAGAACACTAAGAAATTGGCATTTACAGTTATCAACATTGCTGGTAATAGCTGCTATGTCACACTGGCATTGAAAACATGCTTTGGATGTATATTTAGGCTATATTAGTTCATACTGAATCCACATGTTGTTGAAGCTTCTTGGATAGCCACAGGTTGTGAATACTGGCCCACTCATTTGACAGTCCGATGAGACACGTTTAATACATGACATACTGGGACAATAAAAGGGAACATAGCAACAGTCTGACCTGGTTGGCAATGAAATATCTTTTTTATTCCTATGCTGGATTTTGGCTTTTCAGCTATTAGTCTCTGTCAGGTAACCAAAAAAAAAAAAAAAAAAATCTTGAAATCAGTTAAAAACTTCTGCAGAATTCTTGTCTGCAACATCATCAAGATCATGGGAATTGTAGAAGTGGATGCTAGTTATGTCAGCCAAGCCCCATCGATGATGGGTACAGTGGTGAATATGAATAGTTGAGACTCTAGTCCACAAATGATCATGCACAGTCCTGTTGAAATTCGTGCAGGCGACCTTGATGGTAAGAAACGACAACAAGCTACAAAATTTCAGGGATGTATTGGTTACTATTGAGTATGCCAGCAATAATATTAGGTAGGTGCAGGAGTACAGATCAACAATACTTCCAAACCATAGCTCTATAAATGATAAACTACAAGAATATTATGAAACAACATTCACTAGCATGAAATTCAAAACAAATTTTCAAAAGGATATTTCAGGAATTTAATTACTTTATATGATTATTATGTAACATTCCACAAAAACCAGACAACACTAGATATTCTAATGCAGTTCCTTTTTATGCCCACTTGTTGGAAAAGGCAAAGCTAAACAGAAGTCTAAATTATTTCAAGAAAATGCAACATGATGATTTAAAGTAAAATTGATACAGTAAAAGCCAGACTATCTGGAATATATACTTTTTTCTACATAAAATTAAGCAAATAAGATTTGTAACTTTGTTACAATTCGTATCATACAAAAACTGTCACCAAACAACGTGATTTAGCGCTAACAATGGATAAGCCCGAGTTAATGCTTTGACTTTAAATAAACCTAATTAATTCTCGATACGATAAATTTACGGGGGGGGGGGACTGTATAAAAACAGCTATTTATTTGAGAAAAGTATTAAGTAATAAAATTTCAAAATTACAGTATCTTGGCATCATGAAAAGCGAGACTTATGTGAAAATATACAGCATCATGAAAAGTGAAACTTATGTGAAAATATACGAACACTGGCTGTGTGACGTGCAAAATTACGACAAACAATTATGCTATGTCCATTACTTGTACATGCTATCTAGCTAAATAAAAAGGAATTTTGTCCATAACTTGTATATGTAGATTACCTAACTAAATAAAGAGCAATGACAAGTTTTATGATATCTCTCCCAATTTACATGGTCTATGGAATTTTGTAATCAAAATAAGCTTTACTTTGGCATTTTTGTCTGAAATGTCCTTTTCTAAATTTTACAATTTAAATGTTAGCACTTGATTGTTGATAACGATAAAAAAAAAAAAAAAAGAAAGAAAGACTAATTTTAGACTGGAAATTTTTCTTCTGTTCGTTTGGCCTTTTTACAATGAACTGCATTTTATATATGCTCAGTTATACAGAATTTTCTGGTATCCGGTATTTCTTGAGCTTTTATTGTATATTAAATTATCCAACAACTCAATTAAGACAGGATTAGTAGATGATACAGATCCAGAAGTATTGCTTGTATATATGACATGCAAAATGGTATTACCTTAACATACAACAGCAATGGGCACATCGGAAACAATTTTTATGAAGCCTCATGCCACTTGTTTCCATCTTTTCCATTGGATAAACTTTTTTCCCACAGATGCTACATAAGTCCATATTAGTCACACTCTGTTCTTGCTAGAAGAAACCAACATAGAATGTTAAATCATTTAAACTTCTCAGGAAGTAATACTTCAATACCTAATATTTGAATCAAGGAAGTCTTAGATACATCGTGTATTAAAATATAATTTGACTTAGTTAATGTACTAACAAGTGAAGCTCATTACGCTGATTTTCTTAATTTTGCTTAATTTAACAATTATAAGGAACCTTATATAAGATTATTTTAAAGCATCAGAGGAACTTCCTATGGCCAGTGGGAAAACATGCAAATTTTAATACAACCTTAAAATACAGTATAACACCTACAAGGTCAGTCAAAAATTTAATGCAAAATTTAGAACTCATTTTTTTTTTTTTTTTTTCTGAAGTCAATAACATATAAAAAAAATGTACTCAGATTGACTCTTTGATGCACTTGCACTTTTTTTCAATAGCATGGACCATTTATATTAGAGTGAGCAAAAGAAAATGGTAAGATAAATGATATAAAGTTTTCTCTTTCACAGAATAAATTAAAAAAAATTCCAAAAAACTTACGATACAGCATTATTTATTTAGTTAGCATGATACAGATACATCTTATGCTCAAAATGGATTATCAGAATATGAACTGCTTTAATGAGAGATGTGTCTTTGTGGAAATCTTTCTAATGTAAATTGGCTCACATTCATGTTACACATTGGGAAAACTATGGAAATCAACCATGGAATCAGTTTATTTACCTGAGATCAAACTTCCAGTATTCAGGGATCTTAACCACTCAGCACCTAGCGGAGCCTATGCTAAAAATATTTTCATTATAACTGCTCTCTTATTAACCCTTTTAAGTTTGCACAAAAAGCACAATAAATTGGAACCAAATAAATAAAAATGTGAGCTTCCAGAAATTTTAACTATGCATCATTTCATGCTTTTACTTAAAAATTTTCTGAAAAAAAAATTTCCATAAAAATTTAAACGAAGATTAAGAAACTATTACACATTCTGGGCTTTGAAATGTGCACTTTGTACCTGAAATGCCCATGTTACAACTAAGCAAGTGGAACATCCTGTGCTTTTAAATTATATATGTTATAAGAATTTTCAACTCCATTTTTTTGCTTGTTTTGAAAAGGCACATACATGCTTTTAAAATGCACTACTTTAAAGATTGCGGCACAATCTGCTAAATAACTTGTATGACTAAAGTCATGGACTCTCCTGTAAGTTTATTTCAAAACAAACATTATGCCACTGTTCACAAACTTTATCTAGATATAATGAGAAGATTTATTAAAAATAATGTTACTATCTACAAAAATCAGTTATAATAAAACACCCATTCAAATCAGTAAATGCTGCACTGATCTGCCCTTAGACCAAGCACTTGGCATTTAATGCATTAAATGGAAACTTTCTTACACCCACCTACAAATACGACCCTAACACATAATTGATAGTGTTTGAAACCCTTATTATTTAAAAAAATTGCAATTTTTAGATTTTTCATTAAAAACTTCAGATGTAGAAAATACTGTTATTCACTGTTCACAAAGTGTGTTACAATAAAAGTTAAAAACATTTTTATGATGGCAAAGAGAAAAAAAAAATTAACATCAAATGAAAATATATATAGTTATGTTTACTGAGATTAATAAATATTTTTCAATCATAATACAAAATCATATACACAATAATTTTCAATCATAATACAGAACTGAATTATGTGATTTTGGCAAAACATACTAAGGTCTCCTGCCTAAGGAAAAGCATATTTTTTGGAGGCCTTAAGTAAAATTGGATATTTATATATCTTTGTTATGCACGGGAAACCAATACAACCTCAAACAACTAATTATTCAATTGTTGCATATATATATATATATATATATATAGGTCTTTTTTATTTTTCTTTTTTAATTTTATTTATTTTCATTCTTTTTCATTTCTGGCCACTAATCAGCTTGAAGTAAATTATTCTTTTACAGTTCTGGCCACTTGTCATCTTGAAGACATCAGAATTTTAATTTACAACTTATGTAGCATTTGATTTTCCACTTCCACCATTCCTCATCCTAGTTCCCTAGTCTGCTTATTATGATTGTGAAGCAGCATACCTCATGATCAATTTCAGAAAAAAAGCAGGTTCTATTTAAATACATCTTTTACGAGGGTTGGAACTTTAACAGTGGTAACTATTTATTTACAAGGAATACAAAAGTGATTCAAGTCACCATGTTTTACAGTCCTTCAAATATAGTCGCCAGCATTGTGTACAACCCGTTTCCAACAATGTGGAAGGTCGCAGAATACCTGTAGCAGCGCCTGTTTTGTTGATAGTTTGAATGGACTGGTCTACTGCCGCAAGAATCTCAGGAACAGTTTGGAAGCGAGTGCCATGAAGTGGTTCCTTCACTTAGGAATTAAGCATAGTCACATGGGCTTAGATCTGGGAGTATGGTGGATGGTAAAGCACTTCCCAGCCCCATCGCTTGAACAAATCAGTCACAGCTTGCGCTGCATGCGGCCGAAGCATTGTCATGCAAAATGAGAGGAGCGTTCTGCAGAAAGTGTCGCCGTTTTTTTCTCAAAGCTGGTCGGAGATTGCTCCAAAAATGAGCAGTAATACTGCGCAGTGACGGTCTGCTGTGGGGGAACGGTATGTGTTAGAATGACACCATCACCAGTTGTAACACGATAATCACCATAACTTTCACATTGCTGGGGTTCTGACGAAATTTCGAATGTCGTGGGTGACCTGTGATGACACCATTCGTTTGATTGGCGTTTCAGTTCTGGCTGGTACGATCGCGCCAAGTCTCATCCAGCGTAATGATATGCCGTAAAAAAGCATCTCCTTCGCGCTCATAGCGCTCCAGGTGGGTTCTGGCAGCATCGTATCGTAGCCATTTCTGCATTTCCGTCAATTGATGTGGAACCCATCGTGAAGCAATTTTTCTCATGGACAGGCATTCCTTCAGAATGTGCAACACAGTCATGTATGCGCTAATCCTGTTTGTCCGGCCAGCTGACGAATCGTTTGGCGGTGAATCACTGTCCACTAGTGCGGCAACAGCTTGCACGTCTGCATCGCTGACACTCGGACCCTGGCCGCACATTGTCTGCCACATTTTGACGTCCTTCATTGAATGCTTTCACCCATCTTGTTACGGTTCTGTAAGGCAATGCAGATTCCCCACAAGCCTCTTGAAGCCCTTGATGACACTGTCATGCTGTACGACCTCTGGCACATTCAATTTTTATCCAACATTGTTGTTCTTGTTTTGAAAACATCCTGACAACACTTACTTTAGACCGCGAGCTAATACAAGGATCCGTTCTTCGCGTGACTCCACATGCACGTGACGTAGGCAGGACGAGTCTTTTTGCTGAGAGGTAAGGTAGGTATGTAGTTCACGTATTACGCGATATACTTTGGTTTTGTTGCATAGCGTTTTTTCAGCTGTGTTGCCACTATTAAAGTTCCAACCCTCGTATTCTTGGTACTATTCAATATTTTTTGTTATTATTATTATTATTATTATTATTATTATTTTGCACTCTATGTTCAACTTTCATAGCAAGATTCATTATATGTACATATAATATGTCACAACAGACAGGATTCCCCCATCACATTTTCCTATTACAACATCATAATCTTGCAAAAACATGAACTGCTTATAATATGAACCTTAAGGTACTGATCAGCATAATCATAGATCAGAGGCAGTGAATATGTTATTTTCTGTCACCAAACACTGATTACAGAACAAAAAATGAGGAACAGGTATGTCAACAATGAAGAAAATTTACCATTTTAACACCATAGTTCATTAAATATATAAAATCAGTTTTCCTTACTATGATTGACGAGTACTTTAATAAACACAATACACTAATTTATTACAGCACTGAAAATGAATAGTGCACAGATAATATATCTAAATAATGGCTTTTAAATAGTAAATAATAGTTAAGAGAACAAAGCCGTACTTAACCTAAACTGAACATTTTCTTTTTATTCATTTAACTACTGTACAAAGTTGGATGGGAGTAAAGAAAAATCAACATACACGAGTAAATAATTTTGAGTGGGAGGAATGAAATTTCTGAAGTAAAATGTTCAACTATTACATGAGTAAAGGGAAAATAAATGATAATCCATCAGCCAACGATGGCACTAGCTTTGCCAAAAAATATTTTAACCTGTAAACTCCCACAAAGACTACAAATGAAACTATTGCAACTGTGGAAAAAATAAATAAAAGCATGGACAAAGTTCTCATGTAAAAAAATTAATTACAGAAGAAAATTAATAAAATCTTTATTGGCAAATGTAAAATATCCACCCGATATACCAGACAACATGCATTATTAGACAAAAAATAATGAAGCTTATATTTGTACTACAGAATCTCTTACCCCTTAAATAACACGTTGATTTCACATTGTGAACTAACAATTTGTGTCGTAACATCACAAAATCCGAATTCCAGAATGATCTAATCCAGACCTCTGGATCCCCAGCAACTTTTTTTTTTAATGCTCCTTTACACCAGCTAATTTGGTATTTTTCATAATAAAACATGTGGACAGATCTAATTCTTAATTTCAATATGGCACAGATAGAATTCAATAAGTCTAGGGCCAGTGCTAAAGCTGGTGCGGACCAAGAGGAATTTTTTTTTTAATTTAGAGAAGCACCGGGCAAAAGTAAGGGATAGCAAGATCTTTAAAATTTAGAGAAAGCACTAGCATGAAGAATTTAGGGGCATGAAAAGTTTAAGAATTTTTGGACCCGCAGAGTGTACACCTTTTTCAAAAATGTCTAGCACCAGCCCTGAACAAGCCTAAGTATATGTGGGTTTTTACTTATTAGGTATTCAAAGCCTTAATAAGTCTCTGATAAAGACTCAAAGCTTCAGATAAAGCCACAATTATATGTGAGAAACAGGCAATAAGTATACTAAATAGTTAATATAACTCAAGCTTAACTTCAACAGATAAGGACGAGAGAAGCAAAGTCAAA